AAAACAAGCCACCGTATAGTCATGATTGTGGCCAAGCTCCCCATACTCTGGACCCATCGAGTTAAACGGCTGTAGCCTGCGCTCCTTCAACGGGGGAACAGCGAAGCGACACGAACTTTCTCTCTCTGCTGAAGCCCTCTCGACGTGGCCAGCAGCAAACATTAGCATCGAGCTCCTGAACGCATTGCTGCCACCATGCACAACAGTAGAATATAACCTGGGACCAATGCGACCGCTACAACCGCACTCAGTGGATGCGGTCAGCGACGGACCGCGCCACGCATTACGAACGAGTGGCCCGTGACCTGAACCGATCGGTGAACTCAGGGGTCTGCCTCCCTCTCACACTGCTGATGACCGAGTTTTGCTGGCTGGCAGGACGTCGCGTCCAGAGGGACGGACGGTTCGGCCACGTCCGAGGGACGTGTGGGATACAAGTCATAATAATAATAATAATCATCGTAAACGTGTGTACACAGACGTGTACTTGGGCAAGACGGCCAGGTAAGGGGTCACGGAGAGGCTGAGTCGCTCGTAAAACCGCAAAAACTGGCGGCTCGGAGAGCAGTAAAAAACGTCGAGTCGAGCAAAGGTCTCCTCTATTGGCACACACGCGACCATCGCCACTGTACTGATTTGAAACGTGGGAGGAGGAGGAGGGAGATTCGTAACGAGCGATGGACTGATATCGATTACAATAGATTCGTCGGTTCATGTAAGATCACGCACGTTACGTGCGCAACGATACATCATTGATATCTATAAACCCTTCTTTGTCGGTAAGTGCGTATAAGATCGACATTGTTTGCAGATTCATAGATAAACTAAACTTTGTATTTTACCACATATGGCCCACTTAGCTGTATAGATATTTTTCAGAAGCGACCTGCATGGTCATAAGTAATAGCACAACAAAGTGGCTTACCATGTGGAAATGTATAGCAGCCAAATAAATATTCGAAACGCATGTTGATTCTAAATGTGGAGGGAAATACCGGAGGACCCGGAGAACATGCAAAATATGTAGAGTAATGGGTTTCGCGTGAGTCCTGCAGCCACGAATGGCCGCTACATTCACGGCGGTGTTGAACCCACCCAAAACAATCGATTATTAACTCAAATTTAATCTCTAATTCGTCAATTCGACATTCATCCCTACTTACAACGAGGAGCGTAGCGACTATGTAAACAAAAACACATCACATAACCCTCCTAAACAATCAAATCGCGATTCCGAAATCTTCATAATTCATCGAATCGCGAGGGTGGGAGGGAGAATCGTTCCAGGCCCACGATTTTGCCTCGGGTTCACTCACGCGCGCCCGCCACCGACGGCACCGTGACGAGCAAGCCGGGTACTCCAGTAGCCCGCTTCAGCCGCGTGCGGACACGTGGTATACACAGTAGGTGCTCGCAAAACAGCACTTGCCCCAACGGTCTATTGTAGTCTACACGGCGGGGGTCCTTCGTCTGTGTACACACGCAGCCAGCTGCCGTGCAGTGCCGTGATGCGTTGAATTCTGACAACTGGCCATGAATAAACCTTAGAGGTAGAGGCATTGAGAGGATGCGCGTGCGTGCCTGTGGTGGCATGGAGAGACAGATGAACACGTGGATTAGAGGAGGTTCGCAATACGTAAATGTAACTTTTGAGAAACGTGGGATCTGTGGCTTTAAATCATCTCCGTGGATTTATTCTCGGCGAAGAAACGCGAGGGGTGATGGCAGTTGGGCGAGTTGAACGTCGGAGTGGCAGCCTGAAGTGCGAACGAGCCCGAAGGGACGTCCGTCGCTGAGACGGAGGGAAGAGATCGCCTCGTGTGCACGTGCTGGGTGGATTGTTGCATCTCGCGAAGGATGGATGGCGGCGATTTGGGGAGGCCTTCGTCCTGCAGACATGCCAACAAGTAGACTACGGAGTCACGTGGTTTACAGAGATACCAACAAGTAGACTATGGAGGCACGTGGTATATACAGCGTACTGATGCTGTATATTCATATCCAGGGCCTAGACATTCATGACGCTGTAGTGTCCTATTGTGCTGAATCTCGACACACAATAGGTTTTACAAAAGTGCATTGTGCCTTGTTAGTAATCAATTGAGACGAGACATCTCTTTGTGAGGGAGACCTGGGATAAAGGGAGGGATATACATCCAGGGAAGGCTACATCCAGAATCAAGGCGATTATTTTTCCCTTCAACCAAAAAAATGTCAAAGGAATACCACCGCCGTGTGATGGTGAGCACGCTGGACTTGCAATCCAGAGTGTGCCGGTTCGATTCGATCTCCCGGCCTGGAAGTCAATGCCCCTTCCTGATCATCCACCCACCCTTCCACCGCTCCTCTTTTCCACCCAGCAGTATGACTGGGTTCACAGTGACTTGGCAGCTCGCGTGTGGTGGGATAAACTGAACATCTGTGAAAACGGAGTGTTGTAGCTCATCGGATTCCTCCAGCATAAATACAGATTATTTATTCTGAGTATTCGCACCTTTCAACAAGTCTAGCCAGCGTGGAAGAAGAGTGGGCCAAATGCCCTTTCTTTAGTGGAGCACTTTGCGCCAGCAGTGGAAAGAGCAAGGCGATTTCAGGGCTGCATCTTTATATTGTATTACTCTTCTTCTGTTTGTTATTTAAAGTTAGATATGTTTAGGTGTATGCCCGGCGGCCATTGTCTCACGCGCAGGGCAGATTTTGCTCACAGCGCTGCTCCCGCTGGGTATCAATTTAAAAAGAAGAGTAATCGAACCCAGGTTGTCGGGTTCGTAGGGCAGTGCGCCAACCGCTGCACCACAGTTCGCCCGTAATTATACATAACGTATGCATAGGTATCGAGTATACACAACGAAATACACCTCCCATTTCACCTTTAACAGACCGTTGGGGCAAGTGCTATGAGCGAGCATCCATGTGCGCACACGCACATATACACACAGAGACACGCACACATACACCCACCCACCTGCACGCACATACACACCGACGCAAGCACACAGACACGCTAACGCGACGCGTAACGTACGCATTTACGGGATAAGAAAACAAATGTGAGCTCGTCAGCGTGCTGCAAGACTTGTAGTTTACAGAATCTCCGCTCAGCTCCATCTCTTCTCCTCCTGCTGCTGCTGCTTGCACGGGCATTTCCCTGCCTCTCCCACTCTCACCCCCCCACTCTCCCCATCACATCCCCTGCTCCGCCGAGCAGAATTCGGATCACGTAGACAAACCCGGAGGCTTCTTTGCCGGTCTCGAACCCAGACCTCGATCCTTAAAACGCGGAATATCCCGACGAGGCAATACGTTGTTTTATTTTCTGTTGACATCGGGTTTTTTTTCTCGTTTATGTAATCACACAGCGTTTATTGGGATGCGAACGCGTTGTACACGGACATTGCATCGAATCGAAAGGCTTGCCAAATGCCTGGCTTTTTAGAAGGGGGTTGTTAGCCCGTGACCAATTATGGCAGGGAGTTTAGAATCCGCGTCATTTTCTCAGATAATTATAGGTATGCAAATCTCGTGTGCGTGTGGCCGGATGTCGACATGCTGCTGGCTTGCTTTGAAATCATTGCCACGGACGGTACGCGCCCTTGCCATAGTGCCGTGCCATTGCAAGCGCGCGACGCGTGCGTCTGGTGTGTGTGTGTGTGAATGTATTGTGTTTGTTGTTATTTGCTGTCTATTTTTGTAGAAGATGCAATGCAGTGCAGGGAACACTCGCGCGCGCGCTCACAAATATGCACGTACACACGCGCACACGCGTACGCTCACGCACACACACGCACGCACACATACGCACGCTCATGCACGCACGCACACACGGGCGCTGTCAACGCTGATCTGATGCAGCATCTAACAGGGGGTTCCCACATCAGCCATGCAAACGTTGAAAACACAAGAATAATAATAAAATAATTATCGTGATGAAAAGCTGAAGATTGCCCGATTGCGCGTTATAGAGACTGCAGAGTTGACATTACGATCCTGTTAGCGAGCACCTCTTCAGAGGTGAATGACGGAGCAGATTGTTAATATGTAATTATGCTGGCTTAATCGCTCTTGCATCCCGATGTGTGAGCATTTTAGGCTGAGCTGACCTAGAGGAGGCTCAATTTTTTTTTATTGTCCCATGCACGCCAATACGCGCATAGACACAGCTACACAAAATCAGTTAATATACACATGCACACACACATATATACCCACAGCTAAACACGTACACACCGCTGACATACATTCACACAGCGTACATACAACTCACTACACACGCACCCCACACACACGGATTCCCTGCGCCCCCCGCTCCTCCCTCCCTCCCTCCTCGCTGCTGGCACGGTCCGTGACGTAGCGGACGTGAGCTCCTTATAAGGAGATTTCCGCCCGCGACTCCTTTTGCTGGGTCCCGCGCCCTTACCGGAACCGACTGCCATATAAGGATCCAGCCCCGTTTCCGGCGCGTAACCATATACGGCCAACGGACTTCCGAAATCGGACGAGCTCAAACGACGAACAGGCGACGGGTGTGGGGGGGGGGGCTACGTAAACGAAAGCGTGCGCGCGGCGTAATAACTCGCCTCAATTTCCATCGACAACAACGGCGGCGTCGATCGGTAATAACGCAGCAGCTCAAGGCGATCCATTTCAGCAACGGCGACAAATCTCGCGATTGCTGTCACAGTCTTCAGTAGGCGTATCCTTCCATAACTCACCCCGCTCCCTCCCTCCCAGCCGGCGGCGAGTGGACTCGTCCGCCGCTGCTGGTGGTGGTGGTGGGGGGGGGGTCGCGGGGAGTGGTGCGTGAAGGCGACGTCACGCACACCGGCGGCGGGCCGGGTGGGGCGGGGGGAGGCTCGGGCGCGCCGGGGCTATCGGTGCGCCCGGGCCTCGGGCCTTGTATGGGCATCTACGTCACGCCCCGCGTCGGGCGGAGGCCGCGGGTATAAGTAGCGGCCTCGTAGCGCCGCTCGGCTCATTGAGGAAATTTCTCTCGCGGAACGCGGTGATATATATATTTTTTAAAGTTTCTAATTTCCTCGCTCGCTCTTTGACGCGCGGGGTGGGTGGGTCGGGGTGTGAAAGGGGGTGGTGGTTGTTGTTGTTGTTTGTTGGCTTTCGGGGAGGTTGGTTTTCGAAGGGGAGAAGCCCGGGAGTTAGTCGATGCGGTGGCGAGCGGCTTGCAAGCAGCAAACAGCGGCAGTCGTATTTACCAGCAGCAGTTGCAAGTTGCCCCATCATTTAAGCGCCTTCAAGTGGATGATCATTGATGAAGCGAAACAACGCAACAACAACAATTTGCGGGACAAGTGTGATGAAAATGCAGGCCGAATTTCTGGCACCGTAACAATTCAACAACAACAACAAACAAAAAAATACGCAATCGTCCTTGAGCGCTGTACGAACATCGCTAGTTGATTTTACCACTTTAAAAAAAAATAAAGCCATTATAATAGCGCACGTTGACAAATCACGCAAACGGCAAGCAAAAAAAAACAAACGCCACGGCTCGGCACCAGCCGCAGCATCAGCAGCAGCAAATCAAGGCAAAGCCAACCGAGCAATCTGACGCCCTGCGGTCATGTCGACCCTGGAAGCTGAGCGGCTCCCCGTGTCTCTCAGCAGTCTCGCCATCTCCCTACCCGACCTCGCCGAAGCCATGGATCACGGGCAGCAGGCGTCGGAGCCGGCCGGAGGAGAGCCCATGTTTCCCGGAGATTCCGCGGACGCCTACGACCACCTGGGGCTTCAGGGCTCAGGTGAGAGAGAGAGAGAGAGCTGACAAGGGGGGTGGGTGGGGGGAGTCGTAACGTTGAGGTTTTTGGGTTTGATGCTGGTGCGACCCGAGAAAATTGTCATCCTCCACCCTACGACTTCATCACCATCAGCATCATCATCACCACCCTCTTGCTGAGTTATCCCATGGGATAAGGGGACGTGGAACACGCGGCTAATCGAAATAGATGGAACGGACCCCCCCGGGAGAGGGAGGAGGGGGGGAGTAATAATTATACGGAATATATTACAGAATGTGGATTGTATTTTTATTGTTTTTCTTTTTTGTATTAACGCATTGCGAATGGTACGCCGGTTGGGAAAAGGGGAGATTTGCATCTTAAATATGCGATTGCCACAGAAAGTTGTATCGTTTCGACTGTATGCGTGCCTTGTAAACGGGTTGCATTGTAAAACGTGGCGAAGTGAAACATCGGGACACGGTCAGGGACCCTTGCAGTATACATGCGTAGTGTCGTGTG